TACTGTTGGGACAAGAATATTGATTATTAAATAATATATATTGTACGTTTATTTAAATTTGTATATTTCTTTACAAATCGAGATCCCGATAAAGAATACTCTTCTATTTTGTCTACTGCGATGGCAGATTTCAATACCTCAATCTTTTTGTTCAATTCAGAGCTGCATATCGTTGGATGATAAGGTTCCGTTGTTCAATAAAAGTTCGACCTGACAAAGCAGTATTTAAATATTTGAATACATTGAAAACCGACCCCGCGTTATTGTCAGATTTTGTTTACAATATGTAAGCATGTTTTATATACGTTGACATAATTTACTTATTGTTTATTTTTATTTCCATATGTTTTTATTTATATTGTTTATTTTTTTTCCATATGTTTAATTTCTAACAAAACACGCATAGATAATTTAATTTAAAAAAATTAATTTAAAAGTCAGTATATTTCTGTTATTTTTGTAAAAAAAAAACAAGCAATGTGAGCACCGGCGTTCAATGTGTTAATTTTCTATTTAATTTAGAGCCGCATATCATTGGACGATAAGTAGCCAATGATCGCTGAAGGCGGGAGCCGACCAAGCGGTGTCATATTACTCTTGCGACCAATGAGATACTTTCTCCCCTTCCATTGGACATTTTTGGGAATAAATCTCGTTTCCCTTTCCATTGGAATGAGATGCGTATGTATGTGAAGAGATTTTTTTTTGTGGAATAATGATTAACTGAATAAAATATAATACCTCATTACAAAATATAAATAATTAGAGAGAAGTTAATATGTGTAAAAATTTAACCTTTTCGGGAGCCATGTTGCATATGTAAAACATACTATTAGTTTCTTCTTCTTTCTCTTTTTATTAGGATTTTGTCCTCTTATAATTTTTTATTGCTATTTCCAGAAGCAATTTATTGTTTTTACCGAGTGTAGGTTTGCTAGCTTTAATCCCTCTCGGAACCCTCTCCTTTTTATTTGGGCTTGGGACCAACTCTCTAGATGTTAACTAACTAACTAGGTGGAGAGTTTTGGTGTCAAATGGCACACATCGCGGTTTTTTCTCAAGCGGGTCACCCATCCAAGTACGAATCGTACTCAGCGTTGCTTGACTTAATTGATCGAGCATGAACTAATGCTGTCACCACGTCATTGCCATTGAAATTTATTAGCTTAAGTATATTAATTATATTACTTGCATAATGATAATTTTTCAATACAATAAAAAAAGTATGCAAATAGAAGAAACTTGAAATTTTTTATAATAGTGCACCTTATTTTCAATTATATTATTTTCCATAAAATTAAAATAACATACTCTAGAAAAATAGAAGAAAAAATTGTTTACAGTTAATTTCAAGAAAGAGAAATAGAAAAAAGGATAAAACGAATTAGTATATAAGCTCTTTGTGAAAATTCTTCCTTTATTTTGTTAAAAACGATTGGGTATCTTGGCTAACTACTTGCACAGTGATTAGGATCCTTAAAGCAGCATAGAGTTTAGTGTCCTGATGGTTTGATTCTTTCTTTTTTTTAAAAAAACAAGAAAAATAGGATAATCATCGATAATTAAAAGTCCAGCAATTTTTATGATTTAATCATGTCTGCAGAGATTTGTTTTTTTTTTTATTTAACGGTATAAATATTATATAATATGATAAACATATTAACGGTAGGACTTTTGATATCGTGCTCTTGCTCCTGGACCACCAAACTTTTTTGGTTCGCATCTCCTTGGATCTGCGACCAGAAGAGTACGATCATATTGGATTAGAATATCTTTGACTTCTTTTTTGCTCGCTTCATCAACATCTATAAATCGTAATACACTATTTTGTAATATTATCATTGTATAGTACAGTCAAACCTCCTATAACACGGCATTCGCAGATCGCGATTTCCATATAACGCGGTGCTGAAATTGCGACAGCCCTCTTCTAACGCGGTACTCTTACAGCGCGGTTTCCGTTCAAGAACATCCCATAAGTTCCTTAGTCACCTGATCAGATTTTTAACGACGATGAAACGGCACTATATTRGAAAAAACTACCATCTAGGACCTTCAGTTCGAACAATCAAAGGTGTACTCAGGGGTTTAAACCTTCAAAAGAACGTATCACCCTTCATGTGTGCAGCAATCTATCAGGGAGCCTGATGATAAAACCAATGCTAATAAATCGTTCTTCAACTCCCCGTGTAATGAAAAACATTAATAAGACTAAATTGCCTGTATTCTGGCGATCTAATAAGAAAGCTTAGATGACTCAAGATTTATTTAAGGATTGGTTTTATAATTGTTTTATCCCGGCAGTGGAAATCTATATGATGGAAAAAAATTTGTATTTCAAAGTTTTATTGATTCTTGATAACGCTGGTTGCCACAACATAGAACTGTATCATCCAAATGTGAAAATTGTCTTCCTTCCTCCTAACTGCACGTCATTAATACAATCTTTTGACCAAAGAATCATTCAAACTTTAAAAATGTACTACACAAGCCAACTTTTCTAAACCATTTTTAACAGATTGGAAAATAGTGAAATTAAAATTGCTTAGCTCCCTATAGAGAGGTTTTAGTGAAGTTAGAAAAAGAAGTTACAAATGAAAACCAATGCGAAGATGAAGCAAGTAAGGAAGACATTTTACCCAATAAAAGAAGACGAGTTAGGCGACTCATATCTGACAGCGAGGATGAGTGCTGAAAGATTACATAATTTTACAAAAGTTTGTCTTGTTTTTGTTGGAAAACAGTTTTTTAGTTTAGTTTTTGTTTAATTTTTTTAATCATTTTTCTTATATGAACTCTTCAATTTAATAAAAATAATTTATAATTTATCTTGTCTTTTGTATTTTTTGGTCTCCATATAACGCGGTACGAATGATGTGATTTGTACTAAAATCTGTGTTTCTTATAGCGCTGTTTCCATACAACGCGCTACGAATTAGCTTGGTTTGTACGGTTAAATCCCAATTTCTTATAACACGGTTTCCATATAACGCGGAACGCACTTACCGCGTTAAAGGAGGTTTGACTGTATATGATACATCCATATAGATAAATAAGGATAAAATATACACGAATACTCGGCGTATATTTATTGTTACTTACATTTTTGATAATAAGCTACAAGAGCTTTAGAAATAGCTTGACGAATGGCATAAATTTGCGCTACGTGACCACCTCCATTTACTCGAACTCTTATATCAACACCAGCAAATTTCTCCTACAAAGTTACAACACTCGTTACCAATTTTGTTTGCAATTGCAAAAACATTTAATATGCGAGGATAACATAGCATTAGTATCACAATCCTTGAATTTACAGTAACTCGCTGTATTATTAGAACATCATTGCTTTTTAAATATGATTGTCATTTCTTGTCTTTTTATATATGTTGTTTGCAGGTCAGTGATCTTTCAAATAATTTAAAGTATTATAATGTCTTAATAAGAGATGATAAATATAAAAAAAAATCAATTTACGAATGCTGGCATCATTTTTCAACAAATTAACAAATTTGAGATGGGCCTAAACGATACAGTGAAAGTGAAAATGTCTTCATATGTACAAGTTTTTAATATCACTTGGAGAATTCTGTTTTCTCTTTGTCAATGGTTCAAAGATTATTTATATTAAGAAAAAAACTTAGCATTTAACAAGCGTTTAACTTAAACTCATACCGTATATTCATGTTACTTTTTTTTTATATTATGGTATATAGATAATTATGTTATTTAAATAAATAACATTTATGTTTGTGACAATTAGAAAAAGTGTAATACTTAGTGAATACAAAACTATGAATTTCTTAAGTCAACTATAAGTAAGCATACTGAACAATTGTATTTGAAAAGCAATGGTGTTTGAATATTAAAGCAAGACACTGTATATGTATCAGAATAAAGTCAACATTATGAAATCTCTAACGTATAATTAACTTTCATTTAAAATTAGTTATTTGGTTTTAGAAAAGTCTACTATTATAATTGTTATAGATAAATAAAACTTGTTCTATTCACCTTCCCGAGAAGTAAAATAGGTTCTTGTAATTTATATTGCAAAACACGAGGTTCAACCAACTCCAATGGTCTTCCATTTACGCGAAGATTTCCACGGCCTCGTTTGCAGTAAGCTACTGCAGTAGCACTTTTCTATTAAATAAAAGTATATATTAATAATAGGTTAAAGGAATTGGTAACATGTACTAACCTTACGCCCAAACACTTGTACAGAATGGATCGGTTCCTTTTGTTTCTACAAAATAAATGAATAAATAATACATTTCTATTATTTAATAGATCAAATCAATGAAATTTTATTGAATAAATTTATTTATAAATTTCAAATTTACCTTCTGCATTTTGTTAAGCACGTGTACTTTCTTTTAAGGTAATTATGAGAAAGGAAACTAATGCGCCAGATGGCGGTAGTGTATATCAAGTTACTACGTTAGTCAAAAATTAGAGAGGCAATAATAATAAGATCATTATTATTATAAATTACGAGTCACAGTTTAATAAAATAAAATGATCGATTATTAATATAATTGTAATAGATATTAATACATTTAATTGAATTACAATCAAACATTTATTCAAAGAAAACAATAATAAATTCAAAATTGATTCTTTATTGTACAGTGATGATAGGTTTTAATTTTTTACGCATTTTTCATTAATGAAAGATAAATGAATGGAGCTAATGATTATTAATAAGAAAAAAATGACGAATTGTTAAGTCTACAAGGAATAAACGGTAAATTACTTAAATGGATGCTTACGGTACAACAATTATAGTAAAGGAAGAGATATTGGAAGATGAAAGTGATAGCGAGTATTTTGCAAATATTGATACATATTTCAATTTTTCTAATACAAACGAAAGAATTCATAAAATATGTCAGAAGAGATCAATTAATAATGACGAAGAAGATGAAGGTGAGCGTTCAAGCGCGAAAAGAAAAAAAACCACTAAAAATGGGATTAAATTAAGAAACGATGGCCCTAACGATTCGGATTCTCATACATTAAGTTCATTTAAAGATAATACAAAGAAAAAGAAAAAAATATCTTATTCGTTTACTGTTGAAAGATTAAATAATAATTCTGATGAGATTGATGAATCCACAATTGGCATGGAAGAAGAAGCTTTATTGAAGATAAATAAGAAGGTTAGTATTATTAATATTGTTTTATTTGAAATGAAACGAATATTATTAATAGAAATAATAAATACTATGTTGTTATAGAAATTAAAAAATTTGGATATTAAATTGATACATAATGTACCAGGACAACACATGATAGGAAATTATTCTGGTTCTCGTGGGCTGAAGGAATATGAAAAAAGATTATTTGAAACTTATGGACCACTTCGTAGAGGACATTTTTCTGTAGAAGAAGATAAAATCATTAAAAGGAATTGGAAGAAATTTTGCGAAGTAAGAAAATGTTCTTTTGTTTGTTTAAAATAATTGTTTGATCAATCTTCAATTATATTATAATGAATTTCATTATCGATATACAGCTTCACAATTGGGAAGAAGATAATGTCGAACCATTCATATCGGCAAAACATAGCAGACAATTTTATATTCCTTGTCGTATAGAGCGACAAAAATTTGTTCAATTTCTAGCTAACGGATTACCTTGGAGATGTTTGTTTAGCGTTAATACACGATTCAAAATGTTATTTCAAAACCGTACTAATCAAAGGTATGAAAATATATTTCCCTATATTTATCGTTAAACTTGTGAAATGAACAATCATTTATTTGAAATCTATATTATAGATATACTTCGAATGAAGATAAATTAATATTAGATTATGTAAAGAAACACGAGGACAGTCTAGAAAAAAGTAAAATTTTCTTAAATTTAGCGAATACATTGAATCGTACGAGGCTCTCAGTTTGGTCGCATTACGACATCGTTTTAAAAAACCGTAATATTCAAGAGGAAGGTAAGCGGATAGTTTTTTATTAACAAAGATTAGAGGAGAAAAAAAATTTGATAATGTTTTTTTTTATTTTGCGTAGAAAATATTTCTAAATCAAAGCCCGTATGGACGTTATCATTAATTACAAAATATGTAAATGAATTGCTTCAAATAACGAAATGTGACTGCATAGAAGAATTAAAAAATGCTATTATACCAAGAATAATTTGGATTAAATTAGGAAATAAATTAAATATAAGTTATAAAAGGTTGAAATACTTTTGGGCAGCTCAATTGCATATGCAGCTATTCTGTCCAAAAATTATTTATGTAAATGATATTAAAATACAATTAATAGAATAGTAAGTAATTTTGTAATTATAACGAATGTAATCCGTATAAAAGAAGCATATTTAATTATACTTAATCATAACATATACACATAAGTATTATAATATTATATTGTTTACAGCATGTATGTAAAAGGAATAACAAGTAGAAGAGAAATAATATGGTCAAATATTTTAAAATATTTTGACGGAATGACTTCTTATTTTCTAAATCAAATATTATCCTCTCTTATGATGGAATCGGATGTAAAAGAACGCAAAAAGATGAGTTTTTTAGGTAACATATAATATAAAGTATACGTACGTTATTAGTGTTGATTCGTTTAATGCATATGTAATAAATTCTTTCATTTTTCTTTTTCAGATGCTATAGAATATTTATATGAAAAGAAAATACCAGAAATAGAGAATGATAAATTAGACAAGTATTTACCTCGAATCATATATACTATCAACGAGAGCACGTAGATGTGATTTTGAAGTCACGTCTATATAAGAATAAAATTACAAATTTATTTTAATAAATTAAAATCAAGCAGTTTAACTTCAACTACTATAAAGTTGAAAAAATGAGATATTTATTTAAAAAATCATGACATCAAATTAATCGTTATCATACAGTAATTCGTATTATAATATATTTATCAATTTTATGCTTTATTTTTTTTCGATTCTTTCTCCAGTGCCTTCTCTTTTGCTCTTTGATAAAGAGGAATAAGTTTTCCTTCTTTGGCAAGTATTTTAAGTAATTCCATAATAAGAGGAAGATAATTGTGCTTTCTTCGAATATTTTCAATTTGATATCGTTCTGATTTTCTCATTTCTTCTTCTATCAATGCCTGTAAACGTTCCAATTCCGCAGGATCGCAAACATTTGCTTTTTGACGCTCGTAAAGTGTCTTTCTGTCTGTTACTATAGCCATTAAATTAAAATGTATTTCTCCTTCGTTGTATCTGTTAAAATGATATTAATATTACATATGGCATTTAGTAAAAGTATGTAAAAGTATAAAGGGTGATTCTTGGAATTGGAACAAGCTATTATTGCGGATGCATTGGTGCACCCATCTGATGTAATTGTATTTTATTTTTTAACCAATTGATTTCTGAAAGTTATTGAAATATTGCATATCTATACTTTTTGAAATATTTAATAATTTATATCTTTATTTATATATACTGAGTATTATTATTTGCTATAATACAGTAAATACAAGACAATTTTTTTATAAAGAATTTTTAATAAAGATTAGTAAAACACCTGTCTCAATTCCAAAAAACGAAAATAACCAAATTTACTTACTTATTTATACGTTTCTGAATAATCGGTTTAGCTGCTTGAACCCATTGATCACCAACTGGACAGGGTCCTAAATCCATGGGCCCATCCTTTAATCCATCCAGTTCGTATAATCGACCATCAATAGATACATAACTCACAAAATGGAATACATCGTCATCTTTAGATGCTTGTTTAGTGTCATACTCGAATAATGTTTGTCTAGAGAAAATATTATGTTACATAAATTTATATTATAATTTTAATTAACACTAATTGCCATACTGGTTCTTAGAGACCAGACTTAGACTTTCCATTCAGGCTACACAAGTGGTCAACATTCTTATGTCTTGCAACAATTAGCAAATTATCGTGGCCAAAATGGAAAGCTCAACAAAAGAAGTATAACGCGTAATAATATGCTAAAAAATACTTTTTCTTCTAGAACTAAAGTTTTACCTTGAAAAAGAATTGTGAACTTCTCTAATAACATCGGAATTACTTAAAGCAAGACCTCGCATATTTGCATCGAAACTCTGACAAAAGTTTTTAAATTCCTCTAAATTAGGACCCAATGATATATCTGAGTGTTTGCAATTTAAAAGTACGCTCAGTATTGCTTGTGTAGCGCAAGCATTATTTATTACCTATAAATATGATTTTTAAATTAATTACGAGTAACATTATATTGCAACTTTAAAATATTATATTTTAATAATAGAAATATTATACCTGTTTAGCAAAAAATATCTTATCTAATCTACTATCTTGTACAATATTTCCAGACGGTTCATCATCTTGTACCCATTTAAATAAAAATATTAAACCGTGAACTGGCCTGAAAAATAAAAAAAAAACATTTATTACTTTATACTCTAAAATATCATATATTTCTAATATTTGATGCGCATTCTCACACAAACATAGGTCTCTTGTGTAAGACGATAAATATAAATACGTACTTTAAATGCTCAAATTGTTCGTCATCCAAACTCCATAATTCTTCGACTTGAGCTCCATTAACACCTAAGAACACACAAGTAAAATTAAATTTCATTGGTAACACGAGTATAATACAATACGAATTAAATAATGTTATTTTCCTTCCTTTTTATTCTAGAAAATCGAAAAAATTAGATTCTAAACAAAATTATCACAATTATAATGTTTATATGTAATACTGAAAATTTCATAATAATGAGATATAAAAATAACAGAGATCATTATTTACCAAATTCTTTAATTAATTCCGTAAAAACACCAGGATCGCTTTCAATAAGACACCAATTTCCTGCAGAATCAGCCATGTTTTCAAACTTGAATTACAAATTCACCTACACCATTAGTTCTTCTTTATTCTTGTCATAATTTCCATGTCGGTAATGTAGACCTCGATAAACTTAGTTAATACGTTAACAGATGACTCTTCGTATCATTCTAAAGTCACATGTTTAAGTTTACGATTACATTATTGTTTTTTAATTGTTTAAACAAATGAAAAAGATATATAAGTAAGGATTAATTTAAAAATTTATTTTTAACAAAGTCACATGAATGAATTATTATTTATTGCATAAATATACGAGATTATAAAGTTAAACCGTAACTACGTGTTATTGATCTCGTAATTTTATTCGTATATAACCTATAAAATTATATTATCAATTTTATAGATAACGTGTTCAATTGTTAAAAAAAGTTGTTCTAATAAATGTTAATAAAATATTTAAAAGGATGCATTTCAATACTGGACAACTAACGGGTATGCTTTATATATTAATTTCAATGATAATTATTGTTTATGCCCTTTTCATTTATATTTATTTTCAAATAAAATATCAACATAGATAAGATATTTTTTAAAATGTTACTCGTGTAATAGGTAATTTTGTACCTGACAATGATAGTAGTAATAGCAGCGATATGAGCCAAAGTGATAGTGATGATACATCAAGTGACATTAGTTTAGATTCTGATACAGATACAGAATCTAGCGAAGGACCTTCTAATGCTGATATAACTCATGATTCTTTAGCTCCAGGTATATATCTATAATATAACATCTTTATTATTTTATATTATTACCAATTTCTACTCTTTTATTCATTTAATATTTCTTAGGTAGCAGCGGAGAAGCTTTAACATTAAATGAAGATGAAGAAGAAGATGAGACTGTAAAAGCAATAATTAGATCTAAGCAATTGCACAGATCTCATCCTCCGACAATTACATTAGAAGATTTTATAGTAGATATATGTTTTCATCCTCAAAATGATATGATCGCTGTGGCTAATATTTTAGGAGATGTTATGCTGTAAGTTCTAAATTGTAAAAACTGTAAATATTAGTTTTACAATGTATATATTCAATGATAATACATTTTTCATTTATCAGATATAAATATACTAACGAAGAAACAGAACTCGTATCATCCATAGAATTACATCTCAAAGCTTGCAGAGATATTGAATTCGATCATGATGGTAAAATTCTATTTTCTACGGCTAAAGACTTATCCATAATGATGACCGATGTGGAAACAGAAAAATTAGTAAGATTATATGAAAATGCTCATGAGTATGTTAAAAATAAATTGTATCTTTTTCCCCTTTTATATTAGAAATTTTAATGATGTTGAAATTAATATATTTGTATTTTAGACAACCTGTATATACGATGAGCATTTTAGGAGAGCACACATTTGCAACAGGGGATGATGATGGCGTAGTTAAATGTAATACTTTATTATTTATCTACAAAGGGATTTTTTTTAACTGGGATAGATTATTATTCTTTATTAAGTAAAAATAGAAAAGAAATTATAGAGAAACAAATCATATGGCATAATACGTCCTTACTTCTATGTCTTATTATGACCTTATTTTTTATGTGAATGCTTGATGCACCTTTCAGGTTATACTTTATTCTTTAATGCAACTCTATTTTTTTTTTTTTTAACTAATCGATGCCTTTTTTCATCTTTTGTATAAAAATATTAACCCAATGTCATATCAAAATGGTAATACTTTACGACATGTTAGACATTTTATATCGTTACTTTAATTAAAGGGCATACTTTACACACGGGAGATGAAATATGAAGAATACGATTTTGTCAATTGTTTTTCAACAAGTAGAAAAAAATGAAAATTTTGCGGAAACGAATTATGAACAGATGAATGTATTTTTTCGAATAATGAGGTGTTTAATTCTATAGAATGTAAAGTCTTAGTCCCATAAAATAATGATTTAAAATATAGAATATCTCGTAAAGTATAAATATTTCGATAATTTTGGCTTAATACTTTTATACGTAAGATAAAAAAAGAAATCTGTCTCAGTTTCAAGAATCACCCTGTATACGTTATGCATATTATTATGCATTTATCATTTAATTAATATTCTGACTTTTAATTATAATGAAAATATATATTTTAAAAGTGTGGGATATCAGACAAAAAGGTAATACTCCTGTATTTTCGATAAAACAAATGGAAGACTATGTTAGTGCTATGATTACGAATAGGGACAACAAATATTTAGTATGTGCTAGTGGAGATGGATCACTCACAACGTTTAATATACCTGCAAAAAAATTACATATTCAGGTAATTTATTTATTTAAAAATAAAAAGAAATAATAATAATAATAATAATAATAACATTACATAATTTTTTGGTATAGTCTGAAGAATATGAAGAAGAATTATTATGCCTTGGTTTATTTAAATCAGAGACAAAGATTTTAAGCGCTACCAGCAAAGGAAAAATGTATGTATTCAATTGGGGAGAATTTGGTCTTCATTCGGATGAATTTCCTAGCTTAACCAAAAAAGCTCTAAATTGTATGATTCCTATTACCGAAAATATTGTAATAACAGGTGGTGAAGATGGAATACTTAGGTATGAAAATATTATATTTCGCTAATAATATACAGGATGTCTCATAGCTGATAGTAGAAACGAGCAAAGAATGATTCTACATGAAAAATTAATTTGAAAATGTAGAATACAATTTGTTCACACAAGTTTGAAAATTTGTCGAGTATACGCACACTTGACTAGGTTTGTAATCCTAGAAACTAAAAATCTTGTTCGATAAACATAAAAATAAAACTGATACAAGAGATTTCATCATACTGACAATGTTTATAAACATATTAAGAAGTATAAAAATGCTCTTCAAAATATCAGAGAGTAGCACATTAAAATCCACTGAGCTGAATCTAGACCAAATGTACGTGTACTCAACAAATTTTCAAATATTTTTATCTAAAACAAAGCCATGTATGAACAAATTTTATTCTACATTTTCTACACAATTTTTCATGTAGAATCAGCTACTGCCCTTTTGTACCATCAGTTATAAGACACCATGGATATTATAATGAAAAAACTTGTTACTTATTACTTGTTAATCTAATAATAATTTATAGAGCTACAAGTTTATTTCCGCATCATAATCTCGGTGTGGTAGGCCAGCATAATTTTCCAATAGAAGCTCTTGATATTAATAGAGATGGTACATTGATAGCATCCTCTTCTCATAACAACGACATCAAATTTTGGAACGTAGAGTATTTGGAAACATTAAATACCTCTGAGCGCATAAAGGGTGGTAAACAAAAACAAATGAAACATAATCTACCAAGTAGTAAGGTTGACAATGCATCAGATTTTTTCGCAGACCTTTGATTCTTTATATTATTTTGGTAAATATTTTTATTATTATTATTATTATTATTATTATTATTTTTGTCGTTGCAGTTATTTCTTTTCATACATAAGCATATACTTTTATTATATGCATTTAAAATAAATGTATACCAAATGTATTTGAATATCTCTTCAATATTATGGAGAATTTGAATACATTATATTATTTAAACTTGCATTATAAATAAAAATAAGTTTAAACATTAATAAAACTTATTTTATCTGAAATCATACACGTCATATTCGTACATTTTGAAGATTTTTCATATGAATTATATAATATTTTTTAATAGAGAGTATAAAATGTGTGTGTGAGAAGAAATAATGAATAAAATATAAATATATATATATATAATATATTTTTTTTTTTAAATATTAATGTGTATACTTAAAGATGAACACGTAGGATTATAAAAAAGAATGAATTACAATAAGAAAATGCAAAAACAATAAAATCTTGCTCGCTTTTCCTTTGTGTTCATCATAGTCCAAATAAAAAAATTGATACTTGGATAAAAGTTACACACAGGCTCACATACACGCATATACACATTTATAATATATGGAATTTATATTTAAGAAATAACAGGTCTTGCTCTGTTTATATAAATGCACAATATGCGCACACATACATACAGACATACTTTACAAATGTTACCATAAGCATAATCTTACAATCCATCGAATCATTGGGCACTTTATAGTGTTCTTTATATTTAATATTTGTATATTTTCTAACTGCAAGACGATGCTCGGTTCTTTGTTCGGGCATTAATTATAGATTAATTATTATCGATATCTTGAAGGACATTTATAATAAAGAAATAAAATTCTGTTCTTTGTACTAACCACAATATTAAAAAAGATTTTTTAAAATAATATTATATGTAAATCCAATACGATGGATAAACAATATATACACTGTGTATATATTATATCTCATTGCACGTATTAAAAATGTTTCACTGAAGTATCCCAAATATTTCATGTTTATTAATTAATTGGATATAGGAAGAAATAGTTATCATATTGGAAGCAGTTGTGCAATAGTCCTATGATAAAAAAAAAAAAAAATCCTGAATTTTAAAAACTTAACTGTTATTTATGCATTGAAATTTATATGCATTAAAATATTATTTTCGTGAAAATAAATCTATCAGTCTTAAAAAAAATTTACTATTTATTCTTGCAGCTGATAATCTTCACAAATTTACCTTCATTGATGATTCATTTGGCGTAAGTATTCCGGAGCATGATAATGTTGTTGAGCGTGTGCGAGCGAAGGATGTATCGGTGGAGGAAAACAACGAACATGTTCTACGCTGGTTGCATCGCTATCTCCACTTTTTAAATACTTATTTAATACGGCAAAAATTTGAGAATTTAATACTTGGAATCTCCTTATACGATCCACCATTCGTTTTAAACGCTGTGAGAGAAAATAAAAAAGGAAACAAGTGAAAACATTAAAAAGATAAATTAAAAAAAAAATATAATAATATACATACAATTCCTTTGACATTTTCATCCTTGCCATCTACACGCTGTACTCTGAGAATATGATAGCAAAAGTCAAGAGCTTCGAACCTTCTTTGTTGGCCAAGTAAAACTATCATAGCGCATCCAGCCCAATGTAAGCCTTCACCGAATAATTCCCTAAGGTATATATTGTATGATAAATATAATATAAAAGAAAGAATAAATAAAATAATTAAAAAAATAATAATTATGTTATATTACTGACTCTACGGTAAATTCTGTATCTCCGACTGGAATGCAATATACAAATTGTAGAGCGCTCCAAAGTCTATGGAATTCTGTACATTCGTCCACATTCATAACTCCATTCGCAGGCGGTGGCCCAACCCAAATAGGATCATCTAAGAAACTGCGTAATCTGCTAAGTACTATTTCAAATATTGACAAGCCGCAACAGAGTCGTTCTCTTGTTAGCAAGTCTCCTTCTCTAGCAATCATTGCTTGCTAAAAGAATAAATAATACATAGTTATATGTATATGACTTAATCATTGTATATTCATTTTTATTATTAATTACCTTAGCATTGCCCAATTTATCTACATTTGGTACAATCTGTAATGCTGCATATTTGGCTTCAAGTCGCTTTTGTTTGGTTTCTGGTTTCTCACCCTCTGAAATATTCCCCATTAACAGATGTCATTGGTTAGATACTGTTAGAGATACTCTTGAATTTATTAAATCATATTGCTAGTATATGTACCTTTACAGTAAGGTCTAGGTAATATGTTTTGGAATGGTGCTGCATGTAATAAATCACAAACTTCTTCTTGCGAAAGTGCTTGCTCCATCAGAAGGCAAAATAATATAGTATTACCGAATTCTCGAAAATTATGAAATAGTTCTGTTTTAGCATCAGGATATTGTACGATATCGTTTAACTGTGCATGATAATATCCTAATACTCCGGGAGATCCATAATCATAACGAGGAAGCTTACAAACTTTTGGCATAGCTTCCATTAACGTTTTAGTGAATTGATGTAAGCTTCCTTGAATTAATGACTTGACTATTTTTAAAAGTTCTTCCATAACTACAGCTATACCTTGATACCCTAATAATTTACACATTGTACGAAAATGATATGGCCCAACAAATCCAGAATACTGTCCGTATTGGGTACTATATGCTAAATTTAATTGCTTGCTACCCCAGAGATAATGATGAGACATTTGTGGAGGTTTATCTCTATGTACCGGTTGTACAAATTGAAGACCACGACATTTAACAAACCTTTAAACAAAATTTCAACGAATCAAATTTCATTGTAATTAATAATGAAATAATCAACAAGATTTATTTTACCTATTTGTTGCAGCATTATAACAATAATTTGGTAAAAAGTCATAATTCAATTCCCAAAATACGTGAAGCGTTATTCTTCCATACGGAGCAAGAACATTATGATTTGCTTCTCTGAACATAGCATCGTATTCGTCAAGTGCAAGCCATTTGCTTAATAGTTTATGAGTAAGCCGATTGACTTGTAATAATCCTTCTAATTCCTGTATGAGAGAAACAAAATTATTTATAAATATGAAATATAAAATATAAACATATATGAAACTTTTTTTTTAAGCTCGTTAAGTATAATAATTGATTGCAATAATCTTATAATTTCAACTTACCACTACTCCTGTGATATCTCCAGATTCGAATTTACTGATCGCTAAATCTAATGATTTTTGCATGTCAGCATTGATACGTTGCGTAATTAATTTATTTAAATCAATACTTCTTCCCAATAATTGAACATGTCGTTGTTTTAATAAAGTTTCATATCTATTAGCACGAGGATAAGAAAGTAAATATGCCCCTAAGGCTACGCATTCTACTCTAAATCGTTTATCTAATAAAATACTAGCAGCTAATTGTTTATAATGAGCAAAAATTTGTTCGCTTAATTTGTAAACAAACTGATCAAAACATAAATTAACTTCAGCCTCCACTTCATCGTAAAGAAATTGTTTACGAAATATTGTTAATGCATACAATGCACTGTCATTGTACAGATCCAAGGGATATAGAACATACCTAAAAGATAGGAAAATTAAATAATTAAGTATTGTATTTGTTATTAACAATGTATGAAACAATGTACGTATATACATTGCCAAAAACGTATACAGGGTGTCTGAGATTTTTTCGTATAGACATTGTGAGTGTATTCTATGCTTAAAAATAAGAACAAAATATTTTACCATTTATGGTAAAACTGTTTATATAAATGTGTTGTTGAAAATGTTGCCCGCCTATGCGAATACAAGTTTAATAGCTCTATAGTACGATATTTATGACATGGTAAATTTCTTGTAGATTTCTATTAATTTTTGCAACTTCATTCCTAATTCGTTTTATCATAACATCAAGTTTAGCTATCTCAGTTGCATAAACTTCTTGTTTTAGTTTCTTTCATAAATAAAAATCTAATTGAGTGATTTTAAGCGGATAAACTATCGTTTAGAGAAGAATACATTGAATCATTCTAAAATAGTAAACAACATACGCACAGTCACTAAATATCATCTTTGAGTAAAACATTTAGACAATTTCACCATTTATGTTATAACTTGAATAAAATTTGCAGAAGAAAACGCTCATAACGTTTATACAAACAAAACAAAAACTCAAACACTTTTTATACAGGGTGTAACAAAATAAGTGTGAAATATTATAGGGATAACTTTGGCATATTAAAACAAGAAAAAAAGTTCATATAAACATGTATCCTATTTAACATTGTTTCAGAATTATAGCGAATTATAATTAGAGTGTTCCTACTATAATGATTTTATTTTGATAAACGAAAATAAAAAGATGTTTCATTGGATATCAGACATTGCATGTTTCTATTAATTAGCCAGATAATTTTTAAACAAGTGGATAAGTCATGGTGGTTATATTGCCTGGCCTATTCGCTCACCCGATTTGAAACTGCTGGATTTTCTCTTATGGGATTATTTAAAATACATTGTCTATAAAATGCTTAAAGACAGTGTGGAAATACTTCGTGAAAGGATTGAACAAAGTTTCCAGCATATCCGAGCAATGGCTGGAAATATGGAAAGAATGAGGAAATCGCTTGTAAGACGACTGTAAGCTTGTGTACAGGTACAAAGAGGTCATTTTAAATACCTCCTCACAATGTAATTGCATTCAGTTAATCACAAGACTCAAATTCGTTATAACTCCGAAAGAAGATTAAATTGGACATATGTATATATGAACTTATTTTCTTGTTTTGATATGCTGAATCCATTTCTATAATATTTCCTATTTATTCTGTTGTACCCTGTATATAATATGCATATACATAGTAGAATTTTACATACTCCATCATTGATGGTTCTTTGCTCCTTAGTATATGATCGGTCAATATCCAAGGCATAGACATTTCAATTGGAAACTATAACAAAGAGCATTATTATATATATATATATATATATATATATATTACAGAGTGATAAAAAGAAGGAGTTCGATATTTGAAGGGTTTATAATACTCACTGAAATAAATAAAAAATTTATAATTAATATGAGTTCTAGAATCAACCCTACCGATGTAAATAAACTTTTTTTAATACATGAGCATTTAATATTGTAAGCGAGTCTCTAAGCAACACATTAAATATACATAGAGAAATTTGATTAGAAATATACGAGTTCAAGGAATATTTAAAAGTGTACGTTAATCCATGATCCACAGATATCAGAATTGCATTCAAATGGAAGCAATAATATCGAATATCTATGATTTTGTGCATACTAAGTCGTTAAGCATAAAACGTTCGAAACTGGACATTTCATTCTTGATTATCTAATATTATTTTTACATCTACGAAGTAATCTTTGTTGATCTTAGTAATAATTTTTTCTTAACAATCTTGAACTAAAATATTTTTAAGCAAATTCCTCTGCGTAAATTCAATGCATTATCGAAAGATTGATTTATAATATCGAATGCTCATATATAATAAAAGTTAATTTACAGTAAAATGGTTGATTTTAGGACCCATGTTAATTAAACATTTTATACTTTTACTTATAGTAAATACTATAAGCTTTAAGTTCAAATATTTAACCCTTTGTTTAATCACCCTGTATATATAGAAATTTTAATATGCACGATAGTAGATAGAATACCTGAATTCGTTTCTCCATTGTTATTAAATCGCTGCATTCCTCATTATGCTGATGGCGCACTTGACATTTCTAATCGTTAAACAATAATTATATATTATAAAAATGTACCAAAATACTGATATAAGAATAATATCGATAAAATAAATGGTAAAATAACATTATATTTGATATGAACACTCTCGCGACGGGTGATAACTAGACAGAACATTTAGTTGAATACGACATATAATTTAAAAAAGTCTGCAAAGTAACAAATAGCAACAGAGTTCTGCTATTTGTAAGTATATGAATATAAAAAATATTGCATCTTAGTATGATGCTTATATAGTCATTTGTTGTTTGAAATTTTTAAACATTAAACATTACAGATACACGTGTAGACAAAATATTTAGTTTAATAAAATAAATATGATGAATTTACAGCTACATAAAATTTATATTAATTTTTGAAACTCTTGAAATTTGTATTTTTTGCTAATAATGCATTTTGATATTTCCTAACAATCTTTGCAGTAAATCGTTTTTGGCTTGGTATATTAATTAAATTTAAGTCATTACTGCTTATATTATTTCTATTTATATCACAGATAAGTAAGCAAATAATTTGAAAAATTTATTTTTGTTTCCATATTAAGTTTTCTATGTACAGAGTGTCCCGTAACTAGTGGTACAAGAGGGCAGTAGCTGATTCTACATGAAAAACTGAGTAGAAAATGTAGAATAGAATTTGTTCATACATGACTTTGTTTTTGATAAAAATATTTGAAAATTTGTTGAGTACACGTACATTTGGTCCAGATTCAGCTCAGTGGATTTTACTGTGTTACTTTCTGATATTTTGGAGAGCATTTTTATACTTATTAATATGTTTATAAACATTGTCAGTATGATGAAATCTCTTGTATCAGTTCTATTTTCATGTTTATCAAACAAGATTTTTAGTTTCTAAGATTGCAAACCCAGTCAAGTGTACGTATACTCGACAAATTTTCAAACTTGTATTCTACATTTTCGACTGTGTTTTTCATATAGAATCATCCTTTGTTCATTTGTACCATTAGCTACGGGACACCCTGTATAATGAATGAATTAAAAAATGTTAATTGTCAAATGACATAGAACTATGTTGCCCATATTCAGCTAAAAAGTTTGAAATTACATAGAATTCCCGTCGCGAAAGTGTTAACTTTATTTATAAAGAAGAAATATATTCACCTGTATTTTTCGACCCATAGTCATTTCTAAATAAAATTCTCTATACCATAACTGCGACAAGTCGCAACAATTTTGTAATGATTCTAGAAATAAGTATATAAACATTATAACAGTATTCTTAATATTTTTTAATATCGAAAATTTAAATTACGAAAATTTAGCGTACCACTAAAATTCAAAAGATAACTCCAATAAAAACTGGTTTTATGAAATTGATCAATTTGTACAAGATATTGTCCATCGATATCTTTTCTTAATGTACGCTTCCCACCACTCTTGTCAGCAATTAATGATTCCAACATAGTACGAACCATATAGAGTTGTGTTGAGGAAGGACCTAGATGAAAAAATTCAAATAAAATAGAACTGAAAATATTTATGAGAGAGACGATATTCATTATTATTTTTATAACAACTAACCGACATTTCTTCGTGGAACTTTTATACCAAATCCATTATCTGGATCTTTCTTTCCTTTTAAAGCAGGATCTCCTAACGGTTCAACTCCGAAGTGCCAATCGGCGCAAGTTTCTCTCACGGAAACAATTATACTGAAATTAGAAATTTGTATAAATATAATATGAATAATTAATAAATAATATAAAGAATTAACAAACCTTCGAATAAGATCTTTTTTATTTTTAATAGCTTTTCTTAGGGGCTCACGTAAAGCAAGCTGTACAAAATCTTGTAATTCTGCATAAATATTACGACGTATTGCATCAATAAATACTGTCTCCATGCGTGCCATTAATACTTGCAATCCTTTAATCATTGCAATGACTTCGATAAGCGCAAACTTTTCTTCGTCTGTATAATTATAACGTGTGGCCTATAAAAGAGGAAACATTTTTTGTTTCAGTAATATTAATTAATAGAAGAAAACAGTGAGAAAGCTTACTCTTTCGTATTCTTCTGCTTCTTGAGGACATTCCTTATTCATATGATGATCAGTTGGATGAAGCAATTTCCAACTATAAAGTTCCGTTACAACGCTTGTCCACTGAGAAAGTAATTGTAATCCACGTAAAGCTAATTCCGCGGTTTCACTATTTTCTATATCACTACCGCATTCCTTGTAAGTTGTTGTTACTTCATTACTATATCTACATTATAAAAAAAAGAAGAAGAAATAATGTTAATATCACTTAATAAATTTTGTATAAAAAATGAAATACATAAATAAATGTCATACCTTGCTAATTCGCTTATATACTTTACATGATCATCCCTAATTTGAGGCAGATGAACCATAAGACCAGCTTGTGGGCTTATACTGTTGGAAGACGAAGAAAGCGGCCACTTGGAAGCATCAAAATGTTTCGAACGTTTAATATAATTAAATGGTGCAATCTGCATATCGCCGAATAATGGTACTACTTCCAAATTTTTAAATATTCTATCAATTCTATCTAATTTCAATTTCTTTTTTTGATCCAGTTTGTTAATGTTGCATAATTCACTATCCATCAAGAATAAACCAAATCCCATAACTTTGACTAACATATGTTTTTCGTTAGGAGTAAGATACATAGTAGTTTCAAACATATAAACGCATATATTTACAACATCTGCTAATAACTCTTCGTAACCAGGAATTTTTTCTAAATTTTCTTTCACTGTATCACGTATTTTGTTTTGCGTTGCCAAAAACATTGATAAATTTTGAGATTCTTGAAGCGTTTGAGAATCTGACATAACTTTTAAAAATTGTGCAGCTCTGGAATGAAAGATTTATATATTTATTTATATATATATATATATTTATGTGTGTATATGTTACCATTAAAGTCTATAATTCAGTTAATTTTGAAAATAAAAAACTAAGCGTTTTAGGGAAAGTATATTATACATTTTAATGCATTAAACGTCATGCCAGTCCCTACAGATCAGCCTTAAACTTTCTATCCAAACCATATCAGTCATTAATAGCTAACATTATGGCCTAAATGGAAAATTTAACAAAGAAGACTTATTGTTTAACATATTAACTAGTTGTTTTATGAAATAACTTGATATTATATAAAATAATAATAGGGATCAGCATAACATTTTACGTGTTAATTGGTCGGTATAGTTATTTTATGAATTAATGGATTTCACACTTTAATGGTAATATATATATATATACATTTTATATGCATATATATATATATTTTATATACATATATAATGCACATTTTTGTTGTACAAAAGATAATATATTTCCAATATAAGAAAATTTCTATACCTTCTGTACGTAGAATAATCATTTTTGACACTAGACTTCATATTCTTCAATTCATCCAAGACAGCAAACATATTAATAAATTTTCCCAAAGTCAGCAAATATGCTTCAGATACAAAATCTTTTCTTTTTTCATGATGACATAAGCGTTTTACCTCTCCAGAAAATCTTTCTATGGCTTTCCGCTGTAGACAAATATTTAATACTCTTGATAAATATACAGAATATATATATGTACAATAGATAGAATATATTTAGATAAATGACGTACTTGAAAATACATAAAATTTAACAATTTATTAACTTCAGGTCCAAGTACTTCTACTGTTTTTTCATAAATTTCAACTCTATTTGGTTGTTCGTTTGACTTTGGTTGTGGAATAGCACGCGAACAACATCTCCATGTATATAACATAACAGCATGTTCTAATCCTTCTTCTAATAGTTCATTCTGTCAAATAATTATAATTGAAATATTTTATTAATACAATTTATTCTACATTATTTGGAAAAGTAAATTATTAAGCATAGCATTCTTACCAAGCTAGCATGAACAGTAGCCTCTTCGATATATTTGGCAATACCGGTAACAAAACCATTTCTATCTTCAAAGTTAGTATCAAAGTTAGCTTGATAGACAACGGAGCATGGTTGAGCTTCGATGCAAGGTTGTTCATCCGGCAAAGTAAATTCATCTAGTACATCGACATTTGAAAGAGCATCACTCAAAGTTACTTTGTCGGTAGCCATGACTTATCTCTTATTATTAACAATAATTAAATCCTCATAGTCTTTGCTAAGTTATATGTATAATTGAGCAATGATATTACAAAGTAGAATACATTTATTTGTTATTGTTGCATTATCTTATGCTGTAAATAATACATTTCTATTAATATAATTTATATTCCTTTTATGATATCTATTTATTTAAACATAAAAATACATACACGTGAAATGAATAACGAAAGGTTTTTTTTTAATTATTTCATAAACCTCAAGATATATATAATTTGAACACACACTGTACATACAAATATTTCCCCCATAGCACCGCCCAGATGGTGGGGATGAGAAAAAGGGGATGGCTTTGGTTCGTTCTATTTAGTTGCTGTCAATTCGAATTTTCTTATTTTTCTATTTCGATATAAACTAATGAACTTTTTTACATCTTCAAATCAATTTGTTTCGCTTGCAATCGGAAATAATAGAACATTTTCGATCCATTCTTTGCACCGTTCAATATATTAACAATTGTATTGTATGCAATGCATACACACTACTTTACATCTTTTATTATACAACGTACTGACACGAGACGTGTGATTCATAAGTCCGCCCTATCTACACAATTTTATAGTATATACATATATATATAAATACATATGGCGTCTTCGTGTGGCCATCACGCTAAAACTTGGTGCCTCCGGCACTCTTACCGTCACGCCTCTAGTGGCGAAACTAAAGAACTAAACAAACACCACGTATATGAACAACCGCTGCTATTCGCGCTCTTCCTTCTCAACCACCGAGCGAGACACACGCGTGCTCACGAGCAGCGACCAAAGACGTCGTGAACACTAGTCACTACTACTTCCTTTTTCCGTTTAAGATTTTGTTAAGTTTATTACATATTTTGTATAAGTCTTTTTTGATACGTTTATAATAAAAATATTCATATAATATTTTTCCCCAGTGAATTAATTATTTTTGAATATTATTGAACACACTACATCGTCAACCATCCTGCCGCCATCTCGCGGTGGCCACAATAAGTATTTGCAACAGCGGTCATTCTACTAGCGAAGTGTTGCATTACCACTTACGCTCATACACTGCTACGCAGCCAATCATATTCAAGCAGGCTGACAAACTACGGCAGCATTGAGTTGGCATCAGTGGTTATACCAAACGCAGCTAACCAGAAAATTAAAAAACACTAGACTTAATATTACGCACAGCTTTCAACGAGACGTCGTCCTTATCATCTAATTACAAGTGTGCATCAATTAATGTGTGATATCAAATAAATCAAGTTTTATGTTGTTACGTATACATGCATTATTATTACAATTACATGTAGATTAACCCTACATCGCTGTTTGTGTCACTAGCTGTTAGGGACTTTTTATTATTCCTATATATTCATATCTCAGATATTTCACATTTATTTGTCCATTTGCTCAATTGTTTACACATTCATTTGTTTTTTTCACTTATTTATTCTCTCATTCATCATTCTCTATTCATTTGTGTATCATCATCTTATAGGTTTTCACGTTGCTATCGCTTACTGTTATAATAGGCATTAGGGATATCACATTACAACAGCAAGTTCTCAGGTATTTACTAGCTTTCTTGATCTTTTCCAACTAGCGAGCATAATCCGCACTTATTGGTCTTTGCTCACTAGATATATATATATTTGCATATATGTTTCTATATCGTGCACGTTGTATTGCGCGCTCGTGAAATATTTTTTTTAATAATTAACATGTACTAGTTCTTTTTTTATTTGTTTATTGTAAGTAAAAAAAAAAAAAAAGAAATACAGCTAAAATTATTTCATGAAAATATCCTTATTTATTACTCGGGAATATGATTGGTTCTTATTTGTTATGTTCTTTATAACATCACGCGTATGTTTGGAAGATAAAATATTACTATATTCGTTACTTTCTTTTACTAGTAAAAAAATTTCGAAAATTTTTAACACGTTGAGCGCCGAACTGATTTTGTTCTACTTTTCGTTTAGGTAGTGAAGAACGATCATTCGGCGGGATAATTCGGTTATATATAATATTAACGAAACAAATTATACACGCACATATATCGCAGTAACAAATGTACAACTGCTGTTGTTTGAGCTAAATAATGGCGTAGTTGATGCAGTAGAATTTGTATATCCGGCATAAATAAAAGAAAATCAAAAAGTTTCCGGTAAAAAGGCGCACAAAGAAAAGTCGCGATTGTCAAAACGAAAAGTTGACAGTCGGCGGGTGTCTTACGGATTGACACATAGTGCTTAATGTGTTTTTAATAGTTAAACAATTGAAGTTTAGGGTTTTTGTTTCTTTTCTTTTCTTTCTTCCTTCTTTTTCATTCTTCTTGTTTTTTTTTTTTTTGTAAAACACTAGAAAAATCCGATAATATGGATAAGTGATATACGGTAGATTAGATGATGTGGCATGCCCATATTAAGTGTGTTCGATTGAAAGCTAATTCCAAGGAAATTATTCTCTTCATTTGAAGATTATATATTATAAATTATAATCATTGTTTTATATTTATAACCTGTGTGTCAATGATGTCGCGTGAAATTACAATCAATGTTTTATCATTGAATTGTTGGTAAGCCTATGTTACTATTATATATATGGTATACAAAAATTTACCATTTGCGTTATCTTATTTCATTTGTTTAATTTATTGAATTATTTGTTCTTAGGGGTATTCCATATGTTAGTAAAAATAGAAAAGTTCGTATGGAAGCTATCGCTGATAAACTTTCTTCAGGAGAATATGATATAATATCCTTACAAGAAGTTTGGTCTGTTCGTGATTTTAAAATGATTAGATCTAAAGTAAAAGAACAGCTTCCGTATTCCCATTACTTCCATAGGTATACAACAAATTTATTCTATGTACAATATATAGTATACATATAATAGATATTTGTATAATAACTTGCTTTAATATCTGGACACCATTACTTTTTAAATATGATTGTACTATACGTTTACTTATAGTTGAATTAAAGAATTCATAGGTTTTTTTTTTTACTAATTAGTACAGTTTTGTTAATTATACCAGAAATATAGGTTTTAATTATTTAATTAACATAATTATCTGTGTAGCATATAACGTAAACAAAATAATGCTTAATTTTTTTAATGTCGCAACAGTATTTAAATACACTTTATCTTTCGCAGTTAGTTCGCTTTAAGAAATTAGTTAGATTGCTCAGAAATTTTATCTTCAAACATAATTATATTGAAGCATGCAATACAGGATCATAAATCAGTTTAGATTGAAAGTTTACAGATATTTTATATATTATTAGCAAAAATAGGACAAAAGGCATAAATATTTTGTTTGGTGTATACTAATTTGTTATTTTTCATAAAAAAAAGGAAAAATTATATATACCAGAGAATTAGTAATTTATTAAATATAAGTAAAAGTACAGTAGCATGAACATCATAAAACGATATACTCATGAAGACAGAATAGAATGTATTCTGCAGAAAGGACGTCCAAAATTCCTTACTGTTTGCGATAAATATAAGATTATAAAAAAAATCAAATAAGATCCTGGATTGAGTGTTTTGAAATTAAACTCACTGTTATTTGATAAAACTGGAAAAAAATGCGTATATCGATACAGTTTGTAAAAACGTAAATCTTGGTAAAAGAAGCATGAATTTTTTTTTAACTTAACAATCATATTTAATCTTAAATCGGCACCATGAATCTTTTTTTTTTTTAGTATATGCGATGTTTGAATAATTATTTTTACATTTTAAATTAAAGTTGTAAATAACAAAATAAATTATTGGGTAATATTCTAGAAACCCTAAATAGTACTAGTAAATTTTTTCACATTTTATTAAATAACAGTAACATTGAAAAAGTCCTCTTACAGAGGTGTTAGTAAAATAAATATCATGCCAACGAAGGGTTAAAAATCAATGGTGTCCGAATATTAAAGCGAGTCACTGTATTAATTAATCCTTTATATTTTCAATGTCTAATGCATGCTAAGTATAAACATATTAAAATTAGATAGAAGCAATTGTTTATGCTTATTTTATAATTTCACTGTAAATATGCTTTATTTGTTATTTTTAGCGGTGTTTTAGGATCCGGGATTTGTATCTTCTCTAAATATTGTATTGAAGATGTAATGTTTCATAGGTGGCCATTAAATGGCTATTTTCACAAGATACATCATGGTGATTGGTTTGGTGGTAAGGGTGTTGGCCTTTGTAAGATTAAAGTTGAGGATATGAGCGTTAATGTTTATGCAGCACACGTAAGTCGTTCATTTTTATTTTTGATAATTATGTATATATATATTATATGTATATATATATATATAAATTGCAGTTACACGCTGAATATAATAAAGTTCATGACGAGTATAAATCGCATAGAGTTTTGCAAGCATTCGATACAGCGCAATTTATTAGAATGACAAGCGGTGGTTCAGATGTTGTGATATTAGGTGGTGACCTTAACGCAGAGCCACAAGATTTAGCTTATAGAATTATATGTGGGGTTGCTGGTTTAATGGATGCTTGTTCAAGTAACTTTGGTAATATAGGAACCGATGAATGTGCCAATAATAGTTATACCAGTGCTAGAGTGGCTAGAAAGTGTCCAGAAGGGAAACGCATAGACCATATTTTATACTTTGGCTCATCAAATGTTAAGGTATTGTAATGATTGCATTAACACGTATTCATTTAGTTCTTAATATATCATTTATTTATAAATTATATGTTTATATATTTAGATTAGCGCAATAAATTATCAACAACCTTTACCCAAAAGAGTACCCAATAAAAATTTTAGTTATTCCGATCATGAAGCTATTATGGCAAGTTTGAAATTGACCAATGGTAAGTTACAAACTTTTTAGAGTTCTTTTTTTTGTGTTGTATTAAAGTATAAAGCTCAGCAATGTATTAACAATATATATATTTTAATGATAAAATTTTACAGGGAACTTGGACATCAACTCAATCAAACTAAGTTCTACTTCTTTTCATGTCCAAGTTCCCTGTAAAATTTTATCATTAAAAATTGTAATTTTGGACGAGAGAAATACTAAATATATTTTAATAATCTCTCAGGTATACACGAAAAGAATGATATTGACGTGAGAGAAACATTAAAGGAAGCTATTGGAATATGCGAATCTGCCATAACATCTCTACGTTATCAGTATTTCTGGTATTTGTTAGCTGCCTGCATACTGATTGTGCCAGTAATTTGGTCAATGGGATTAGACTATACTACTACGTCTATAGGTATAAGTATAGCTCTTAATATCGGTCGTTTATTTATGACTGCGCTATTGTGTTATGCTTTATTTATGAGTGTTATATGGAATAACACAGAAAATAAGGCTTTGGAAGCAGGTTGTTTAGCAATGGAAATCCATTTGATGCAGTTAACCAATAAGTTGTCTAATTAAAAGCATTTATATTAATTATCGTTTTTATACAATTATATTTTGATACTTTTACTAATTCAAAGGGCTGTAAAAATAATATTAACCAAAGACATTTAGATTAATATAAAATATAGTCTATTAAAAAATCCGTATCTTTGACAATAAATGAAAGTATGCATAAAATAACTATTGTTTATAAAAATAAACGCGAAAGTATTTTAAAACGATCTATATTAAAACTTTCAAAAAGAATACAAAAATATGCATGTTAGATGTGTAAGTTCTGTAAGTAATATTGCAATTACTATAAGATGCAACTATGGATGCATACAAAATTTGAAGTGAAAATCAGATAGGAAAATATTGGATTTGTAGAAATTATGAAATTTCTTGATATATATATATCTCTTTACAATGAATGTTGTAAATATATATACTGAAACATGAGTCACGAAAGTATTCGAACGATATTAATTATACAAACCTTATTATATCAAGTAAATCAAATATTCTAAAGAAAATAAATAGAAATATAATGAAACATATGATTACAAAAATTTCGTCCGGGGTTCCCGGAAAATATTCAAAACAGAAACATTTCATTCAACTTTTACAACTGTAAATGTTCAGTCATAGTGTTAAGAATTAGCCCTTACTACTAGGAACGCAATGTATAAAGTTTTAATGGATTCTCCCACCCCTTTCAACTGTGTTAAGTTTAAAAAAATATCTGAGCCCTTTTTAGATAAATATAAATATTTAATAAAAAAAGAATATGTTTATTTCCAATAAAATGAAGACCGAAAACAATGAGACAAAATTTGAAATAAATTGGATGAGATATTTGTAGAAGTTATTATTAAACATTCGTTGCAAAAATGTACTGAAACTGGTCACGAATATATTCGAACGGCATTAAATGTACGCACCGATCAAGGTGTTAGTTCCTTGCTATCAACGAAACATAATCACATTTCATATGTGAAATGAAAGCAGTGCAAGTAAAGATTTACTTGATACTAATAACAATAGAAAAATCGCGTATCTTTTGCAATTGTTTAAACAATCTCTCGTCGTCATCAAAGAAGTGAACCTTTTAATTCGTTTAAATGAATTGTAATGTGTTTCCACGTATCTTTACATAAGAAAGTTAAAAGTTTCTTTAATTTGGTAGACGATGAGATTTTGATATTGTTATTTACTGCAAAACAATATTAATTAATAATCAAAATATCACGTAATTACTAATCGGTGCTAATCGATATAGAAGTTTATTCTTTGTGCGACATGCGAATTCTCGTTGACACCATAAAAAAATATACACTTGTTTGCCGTGATTTCTGTTTTGAATATTCTCCGAGAATGACGGACAAAATTTTTGCAATCCCGTCCTAAGTTGTTTCTGTTTATTTATTCTTTTTTTTTTTAGAATACTTGATTTTCTTAATATAAAGTATAATTAATGCTGTTCGAATATTCTTCGGTTTACTATAATACACTTCACTTCTAATTGTGTATATGTTATGATCAATGTATGTAGATATTTGGGGTATTTTATAGGATGCCCAGAGGGTTTTTCAGTCCATTTATTAAATGTGCTTTAACAGAATGTGTTCAGAATACGGGGAAGGTGGCAAACTGATCTCAAGTTATTATTGTAAATGAAACATCGTGGATATTTAAAAATTTATACACAATGTCCCTAAGAAGTTTCAGTCAATCTATAAAATATCCTTCAATGGAATTTGTTTAGAGCATAGAGGAGGTTAAACTGAAGTTATTTTAAGTGAAACAAATTACGGAAATTGAACCCTCTCCTCCCCTGTGCTCTAAATACAGCCAATTGAAGCACATTTCATAGATTGACAGAACCCCCCCCCCCCACTCTGGGCATTCCGTAGACTGACAATGATGTCCATGGTAGTACACATTACCCGTAACATATATTTATATACATTAATCTTTGTAATTGTACATCTTATAATAGTAGTAGTTATAGCATTACTTGAAGAACTTAAATTTAACATGTGCGTACTTCTATTTTTTAAAGTTTTAATATCGATAGTAATTGCAACATTATTTTCAGAAATTTATTCTAATATACATATTTGTATTCTCTAAAATATTAATATCGAACGTTCGAATACTTTTCGTGAGCCATTATATTTGCTAGATTGTATTGCCAGTTTTTTGTATACTCGTATGATGTAAATTGAAGCATCCATATATGTAAAAATGTATTACTATATCAATTATAAATAGCATTTATACGATTTTAATGAAATGTTATAATATGAAAATAATGTTAATAAATATTATAAATAATAATTATTAAGGTAGTAATATATATATATAATATAATATATATATATATATATAAAGACCTGAGTATAAAAAAAATAAACATAGTTTTATATCTTTATTTATGTATATTTTATGTATATCTTGTCTCTTTGACAATCAGTTATAGTAGAGTATAGTATCAATTATCGATATAACATAGTATGATATTTCATTTGATGTGCACAATATTAAATATTATGATTCGTAAAAGCATAATGGGGTAACGGTTATATCTCTTATATTTGTTTACTTCGTATCACAATATGATTATTGCTATATACTATCTTGTATATTATGTATAATACAGCAATTCAAATAATTGTGAGATTAAAAGACTATTGTTTGAATGAATTTCTAAAAATGATGGTATACATATATAAATGGTATATATATATATGTATATCGATGCAATATTTCCAGTAAAAACTTACTTATTATATATTAGATGTGTATGTATATATATTATTAACTCTATTATAGATTTGCGTATGCATTACATTTTTTTATACGTAATTTTATATACAGCATAATTATATTTAAAAAAAGAAAAAATGTTTCTCTAATAAATAAGTTTACGTTCACATAGAAATGTATAAGTATAATTGACTATGTACGTTGTATCCAAAGAAAGATACAGTTACGATTATGCGTTTCACGTATATGATATCAGTTTGGATGAGAATCTTACCCCGCAATATATAGAAATTTACATGCAGCGGAGTAAAATATTTGGGGAATGTGTGCATATGGAATGTAAATATGATTTAATGCAACACAGGCACTCTTTGGTTACTTCAGCTTCAGGGTAACTGTTCGACATAATTTTTTGGAACTAGTCCAGTTTTCCCATTCAAGGTGCCTTCTAACCATCCGGGCTCTAAAGAAGCCTTAACTGTAATTAACAATGTAATATATAATAGTTTAATTCAATTAATTATAAAAAGGAAAATCAGTTTTATTTAGGAACGAACATTACCATTTGTGATAATTTGATTTGGTTCAAATGATAATTCCCCATCACCTTCGGCCAAACAGGCATATAATGTTCGTACTCTCCTAAAAAGAAGTTAGTATAAATAATTAGAATTAGTTATTATTAGTTAGTAGAAGAATTAGTACAAATTATTTAAATCTATCGCAATGAGTTCATTACGTTGATTATAAAATTTTTTATTTCAATGCGTTGTTCATGATTTGATAAATTTAAATTAATTTAATTTATGTAAAAGAATCAATTAATATCCATAGTTTTACGAATTTATAGATGTAAATGAACAAAGCGCATATATTGTTTATGTTCAGTCAAATGTTACTAATCAATATTTGTTATTCCGAGTTATTATTCGTCAAAGAAATTTTTAATTTGAAAAATCAGATTTTGGTGAAATATGCTTTTTTGTGTTAATACTTTCAAATACTACCAATGATGTTTTTTTTATGGAATAATGGCTAGTAAATTTTTAAGTTATTTTCTTATAAAAAAAAAAAAGTAAAATTTAGTTAGTGATTTTTGGCTGATGATAAAATAAATTGAAAAACGTGTATTTACTTAAATAAATATATAGGATTTTACTATCAATTTACTTTAAGTACTTTAAAAAGTACTTAAAAGTACAAAGTACTTAAATTTTTTATCAGAAAAATGTTCATACAAAAATTAATAAAAAATTATTTGATAGAAATAATATTATGAATTAATTTATACTGTCCAAAAGATTTTTTGTTTTCTATTATTAAACTAATTAAAACCTACATGAGATAATAATCCTACAAACTTATGGAAACATTGATAAAATAATTGTAATTATTATTGCATTATCAGAATAAAAGAACACAAAAATTATTGAATTTTTTTTAACATTCCAACGAATTTAGTTTTCATTGTTTTAAAAGTCTTTCTGAAATCCTTTATCGTTTTGGAATTATTATTATACTAACCTACTATATTTATTGAAAACTACGAATACAATATTAAAAAATACACATTGAATTACAAAAACGCACACAAAAGAATAAATCCTGAATTCAATTTAAATTTTTCTTAAATTTTTTTACAAGGAGAGGCTTTAGTTTCATCGATTTTGATATTATTATTTTTAGAGAATCTAAAACAAATATAAATAAATGTTGCCACAGCTTTTGATCGAATGGGCTTTGTAAGGGATGTTATTTATATTTTAAATTTAAAGCGATTAAGCATTTCAGATATAAGAAGCCATAAAAAAACAGCCGTTATCAAAATTTGTAACTTTTTAAAATCTGTTTTACATCATGTTTACATTGTAACAGAGCTGGTAGGAAACTTTTCTTTGATTGTTTATGACATTTTAAGCTATGTAAGCTACTATATAAGTCATTCAAGATCAAAATTGTAGATATTAACTTTTAGCTGAACATAGGCAATATCTATTATACAAAGTTATTTAGGAGCACTCCAAAATATGTGGCTTGTGGAAGTACCATTAGGCATTCAGAGAGTCATATATACAATTAGTTAAATAATTATATAAAAATAAGACATACCAAATTCCAGGCATTTGACCAGGACTGGAACGACCACTACTTGGCGATGTATTAGCACTGACAAAATTATCATTTTTGTTAATAATTATAATATCATGCTATATTATTAAATCATTTGAACATTATTATTATATTAGATAACTTTTACTTACATAGATATCGTAGGATTACTTCGTGGATAATTAGCAGGATAATGCGTAGACATAATAGTTCCACGTTTTTGTTTAACCGGTATATTAGCTGTAAATGGATGTGGATCCGATGCAATTGATTCGCTCGAGCTACTCGTGTTACCACTAGTAAGCACTAAAATATAATATTGGAAAGGCATAATGCATCAATTCTAATAGAAAATGTAAAATAAAAATAGTTAAATATTCATATAATTTAAATGTAACCTTTATCCGCGGAATGATACATTAGATTTGCGTTAGTTAATTTAACTCGACCACTTCGAGTCTCTAGATATGCAGGAATACGATGACTACTAGGATCAACTTCTTCGTAATCACCATTTTTTCTATCATCCATAGAAGGTGATTTAGTTGTAATCGTTAATGGCCCATCGTAATAAGATCTTGCAACGTGCTACATAAATAATCATAAATAATCAAATATATAAAGTTAATAATCTTACAATTACCTAAAATATGTTAATATATGAAAATGAACTTACGTGCGCGTGCGGTATTGAAACAGAACTATGCACTGGATATC